TGTTCTTCACCAGTCAAAGCTTTATGTCAGAGTCAGAGGAAGACACTGTTGAAACTCTAACGTTAAATCTGGACCATAAGACACCAAATTGTGGGAGATTCTGAAGTTAACTGGAAGAAGGTTCGTTGGTCTGATGAGACCAGCGTTGAGCTTTTCGTCCATCAGACTAGACGCTATATTTGGCAGAAGCTCGTCACAAACACACCGTCCTCATTGTGAGGCACGGCGGTGGCAGCATCATTAGTATGTAACATGAAAGCAGCAGTTTATCCAGTTAGACAACGAAAGCTCCACAGAAATGGTTTGAAGACATCAAGGTGAATGTTCTGGAGTCGGAGCCCAGACCTCAGTCCAACTGAGAAATTGTGGCTGGACTTGAAAAGAGCCGCTCAAGACTGGAGTTAAATGCAGCGTCCAGATGTTCTGACTCGTTCAGATCAGTCCTCAGAGGCTCAAAGGTGAATCCAGTAGATCCTGACCTGTAGGAGGTAAATACCGACACACTCACTTATTCTATGTTTTATAAGTTGAATCTGTTTTTATTGACACGACAGAGTCTCGTTTTTGTAAACAGTTCTATTGAAAAAACAAACTTCCAAAGCGGTCCTTGTTCGAGGCATCGTGATGCAAACTGCTCAGCAAAAGTCTGAACAGCAGAAAGCGGAGCGGCTTTATCCCAGTTAGCACTTTCATCCAGGCTTTTCCTTCCCTCCACCTGGCCTTCGGAGGTGGGCATCTTCTCCATCGCTCCCCCGGGAGCACTTTTCCACCCTCGCTACTCCTCCTCTACTTTCTCTTGCAATCGGGCCGAAAACACTTACCGGCACTGTAATTGAGCCTCTGAGGACCACTAGAGGAGATCTTCCCGCTCCGACTCGCTCCTCCCCGATGAGCTTCGGCTATTTCCGCCTTCCCTTGGACTCGCTGAATTTAGGGCCGCAGAAAAAAAAAGCATAACGGTGCGTCGTAGCTTTAATAAATTCAGTCCTATTTTCTGCTCGTGGTCATTAACGCCGTTATTGGCCCCCGCAGACGTACTTCTATTTGTACGGTTATAAAAAACAAGAAGAGTTTGATTTGTGTGGAAGTAATTAGTGCCTTTTAAATATATTATAAACCATCATTTTCCGGCTTCCATGCTTTAAGATCCGGTTGCTTCCAGTCGTGAAAGCCAGACAGGCGTCACGCTGCAGGAAACGTATTACTAGCATGTCGATTCTGTTATTTCATCCTCGGCTGAGCAAAATGCATCCTTGGTAAAAGGAACAACCACCTCCGAGGATATGTGGTTCCTGCGTGTCAGCTCCTGAACAGCATTACCTCCATAACTTCCCCTTAAATCCGATTGTGGACTCGATCAGCGGGAAGATACTCACCACTCAATTGGATTCCTTTTGCCCTTTAAAACCATAAAATGCCCTCATGTCCATTAGTGTCGGGGAGGATTAGTATAGAGCACAAAAAAACCAACAGAAAAACAGGATTTTACACCAATTTACATGGTTCAGCACAGCGTTGTTCTAACGAGTGTCCGAACAGCACGACGAAATGTTGAATTCAGGAACAGATCTAAGCAATGAGATGGACAAAAGGTCCTTCTGCTGCTCGTGTTCCTGCTTCCAACACAATACCTCCAAGAACTGACTGTTCACTGGCAGCCAGGTAATGACGAATATCCTGAATACTTTTGGGTATCGGGGTACTTTTCTATCCCGATACCAGCACAGCGAACGAATAGTCGGCTATTCAAGTCCAGCCCTCGTGGTTTCCACCCCACAATGTAACAGTGCATCTACTTCAG